CTGGCTGGGGAGAAGAGGGAGTCTGCTAGGAAGGCTTCCAGGGGGGAGAGGGGAGGGTGGAGGGACCAGCCGGGCATTGTACGGTGGGCGGGTTGGGGTCCCCTACTGTGGGACAGTACATTACCCGGCTTGGGGGACGGCGGAAGAGAGGACTCTCGGGGCAGGCGAGGACGGAGGTTGGAGGAGAATGATGGGGGAGATGACATCTTGATTTGTGTGTTTTCTAACGTTTTTTGCGCAATTGTGTTGCTTTTTGTTGTTTCTTGTTGATTTCTTTCCTTGTTTGTTTCTCTTCTTGTTTCTTCTTTTTCTTTTTTTTTTTTTTTTTTTTCTTCTGTTCAAGACTTGATAGACAGATAGATAGATAGATAGATACTCAAGACTGCGCAAAGCGGAGTCTTTATTACTATTAGACAATAGACCTTTTTGAGATTACTATTCCTTTCTTTCTAGTGCTTTTATTTAAGAGCCGAACCCTTCAATGAATGTCAAATGTACGGGAGCGACTCCACCACACTGTGCTTAGATTAGATATGGCCAGAGCTAGTAGGCATCTTTGTCGTCTACAAGAGAAGATTTCACCATGTTTCTGAGACCTTGGTAGGGCACAGGAAGACCATCAACCCCATGTTGATTGTAGTAGCTGAAGTTGCGGGTGGCAGTTCACAACTCTTCATTTGTAGCGATATTTGGCTCAGAGTCGGTTTTGGGTCGGGTTCAAATTCAAGATCTAGGAGCCCACCTAGCTCACGCTGAATTTAGGATATCTAATCTGGTAAAGCCGCTAATAAAGTTCAAACAAAATAATCTAAATTTGTTAGATTTAGAGTATAGTGGCACGGTGAGCCAGCCTTCAGGGGCGACTGATATTACGCTTGAAGGAGGAAGTGGCCCAAGCAGGGCTAGGAGCGAGCTGTAGAAGGACCGCTCTTGTAACTAGCCCAAGTCAATATAGACTGGCGACGGAGGAGTATATGACACTTACTCGCGCCACAACAGGACATACCAATATACTCATCTTAACCTGTACGTAGCCACCCCTCTTGGTGGCCATCTGGGCGCGCATAGCCAGCGCCATCACCCGCTCGAATCTTCATCTTCGGATAATATAACAAATAAGCCCCCACCCAAAATAAAGAGGGAGGCTGTCAGAAGCAGCCCAATACTAGGGTCCGCCCCTAGGACCGTGGAGAATGATATGGCGTTCACACCGATCGGAAGGGCCTGGCAGCCTGATATTTGACTATAGGAAATGTATGATTGTGTAGTTGATAATTATTTTGCCGTTTTACAGTATTCAGTGCAAGGTGTTCGTAGAAGTGTTTAGTGGCCATTTGTACTCAGATGTCCTTGAGCAACAGGAAAAAAAACGAAAGTCAAAAACGGAACGCTAACAGAAAACCGTCTAAAAAACAGAGAGAACGTCAGAAAGCGAGCAAATAAACACGTTATCTTTTCCTATCTGTCTCACCCACCACCCGCCCTCTCCTGCCATGAGAATCAATGCCAATCTGGTGTCGCCATTGAGCTCTGGCCAGCCTAAACCTCCCTCGTTATATATAGCAACGAAAGACAAGGCCTTACCAATTAAGTAATATAATTAACAGACCAGCCCGATTCTAAGACTAACCCTGAGGGCTGTCGAACGTAGTATAGTCTTAGATATATCAATTGGAAGGGCCTGGCAGCTCCTCACGAGGACTGCCAGCATGACGAGGATTAGAGTCATCATGTTAAAGGTCATTATCCCTTAGTATATCGATTGAAAGAAAAGGATTTTGTTGGTTCAAGTATCTTTTTGAAGTCTGTGGTAAAGGAGAAGTAGTAGTCAATGGTTCAGAGGGCTTTCAGTGGGTGTGCTTGGTAGTGTAAGTCTTCGTTAAGAGAAAAATTCGAATCCGAAGTGGACTTGGGGAAACCCCTTTCTCGCTGGGTATCGGTAGGAGTGGTCTCTGATGGGACCATTGTACCCTGGCTTGCTAAAATCTCAATTGTCCAGTATGAGATAAAGGGCAAGGCCTTCCAAACAAGAAATACAATTTTTAGGACCAGCCCAATCCCAAAGGTAGCCCCAGTAATTGTAGAAGGGGATGTCGTCTTAGCTACATTTAACGGCAGGCTCTGGCAGCCCTGAAGTAGGGCCGCCAAGAAGAGAGCAATATTGCAGCCTCTATAATAGTTGTAGGAGGTGTAGCCTTAGCTACACCGATAGGGAGGGCCTGGCAGCCCTGAACAAGGACTGCCAGGATGAGGAGAATTGTGATGACCATATTAAAGGTTATTTTGTCTCTTGGCGTAATGGTTTGAAGAAAATGATTTCGTTGGAACGGAACAATAGTAGTTGTAGTGTGGTTGGTCATTTTTAGTGTGCGGAGGAATATCTTTACTGCCCAGGTGGTGAAAGTGATCGGAGGTCGATCACCATTTTATGGTGATGCCATTCCGCTCATTGGCGGTTGAATCTCCACCTCTGGATATGCCGACGCCCCCTAAATGACGAGGGGAACCAATAAGACTAGGCCGATGCCCAGGGTAGCGTAGAGAACCGTAGCAGACTGTGAAGCCTTGGTCATGTCTATCGGAAGAGCGTGGCAGTCCTGAAACAGGACTGCTAGTATGACAAGAAAGATGGTAGAGTTCATTTTTGTTTCCGGAGCTGATGGACTTGGTATTTTGAGCAGTGTAGAGGAGCTGTAGCCGCTGTTTGGAGGAATATTAACGCAAGTGTGTGATGGTGTGATTGTTGGGAAAGGGAAGAATTCGAAGCTGAAGCGGACTGGGGAGTTGTCGCTGGGTATGTGGTCGGAGCCACATATATAGGTAGGGCCTGGCAGCTCTGTAAGTGGGACTGTCAGGAAGAGAAGAACTATAATAGTAGTATCGTTGCTCATTTCGTGTTTACAGGACGATACTGCGAGGAAAGAAGATGACAATGCAGCTACTTCACGGGGAAGGTGCGACAAAATAGATACTATCGCGAAGGGAAACAGCCATCCTGAAGAAGATGCTACACATGCGGAGAGCTAGGCGACTGAACGGATTACAACGCATTGACTACCTATAGTTATATATAAATATTTTTATGTTCCCTAGGATACTTTGCGCGGTATCGACGAGCGTAGTCATCCTGCCGCGACCTGTAAGCCTACGCGGCAGCTCATGAGATACTAGGTCCTCAACTTGAATTCATCAGACTATTCATTCTGTTCGTTATTGAAACGACACATTAATACACATTGTTGAAATATCGCCTCCAAGGAGCAAAAGAATATACAATTTCAAAGAAACGACTATTTCTTCTTGCCAGTAATGCCGAGAGCGTCAGTGATAGAACTTAAGCCCAAACTGTCAAGCAGCTTGTCAAGACCCAAGCCACCGAGCAAGCGATGCACAAGAGGCCCCAGACCGAGACCCTCAAGCAGGCGGCCAACAAGCCCAAGCACGCCAGTCAGAAGTAGACCTACGGCGGCGATGATCTGGAACAAAGGCTCGCTGAGAAGGGCCCAGAGGGGGTTCAACTGTCTCTTGGCATGAGGCATATCGGCGATCTTCTTCTTCCCATTCTCAATGCAACTAACGACGGTATCTGTCATTTCTTTGATCTGGTCGGCAAGGGCATACTCTTCGGGAGACGCTTCGTGTGAGGCAGCGCGAGCCTTCGCTGTCGCTGCAATACGACCATCTGGATCAAGAGCCCGAATGGCGCCATTGCACTCTTGGAGGATGCGACCACCCTCTTCAAGAAGCGGCTTCACATCTTTTACCAACTTTTCTTCATCCAGTTCTTCTTTCGGGGTACGCTCAGCTCTCTCGATGTGCTAGTGCATGTGTTAGCAACTCACTTCTGCAGCCGCTCAATCAGCAAGGGGCATACCTCTGTAATCATCTTGCAGATTGGCCGAACACGATCCAAAGTCTGTCCAATAATGGCACTCATCTTCTTCGCCAGCTGTCTATCTTCTTCAACCTTCTTTTGCTGCTCGAGCTCTTCTGGCGATGGACCTGGCTCCTCCTCGACGACCTCTTCTTCCTCCTCCTCCTCGGGCAAGTTCTCGAGCAGAGTACACTCGCCCAGCTTGTTACCATCATTGTCCACGACGAACCCATTATCATCGATCTCCTTGCCCACGAGAGTGGCCAAATTACCCGAGGTCAGCTTTCCGATCAGATTACCGTCGACGTCTCGGACTTCACCCTCACGGGTAACCTTGCGCCCTGCCATAGGGTTGACGCTTCGTTGCTTCTCCTCCGGCTCCCAACGCTCTGCTCGGCCGATGGTGTTTCCATTCTTGTCCAGGATATCCCCGTCTTCGTCGACCTTGCGTCCCTGGAGTCGCTTGGCGTCACCTTCAATGACACGGCCGATAATCTTACCACCGGAAGTGACCACGCCATCCTTTCCAACTTCCGCGTCGTCAAAGCCGAAGAAGGCGCCTTCCGGCTTCTCTTGCTCGGCGCCAGGTACAAGCTCAGCTTTCCCGATGACCTTGCCATCGTCACCCCAGATTTGGCCTTTACCATCAACCTTCCGCCCAGCAAGTCGCTTGTCACCTGAGGTAATTCGGCCAAAGACGTTTCCTTGGGCATCCACGACATTGCCGGCCTTGTTGACGATCTTACCTTCGAGGATTGACAAGTCTTCTTCAACAACCTCCTCCTCTGGAGGCTCGTATGGCTCGGCATGGCCTTTCACGTTGCCAAACTTGTCAATAATGTCTCCGTCCTCATCCACAGTGCGTCCGCGCAAGTTCTTCAGTTCACCTTCAGTAACCTTGCCGACAATGTTACCATCGGTGTCTTGAACAAATCCTTCCGCATTCACAACCAGGTTCTCCAGGCCAGCGAACGGGCCTTCAGGCTTCTTCTCGCGCTCATTCTCAGGAATGAGCTCCACGCGTCCAATGGGCTTGCGACCGTCCCAGATCTGGCCATCGTCGATTTCTTTACCGGCCAGTTCCTTGGGGTTTCCTTCGACGACGCGGGCAATTGGAACTCCGTTCGGTCCCATAACATATCCCAGCTTGTTGCAGGTCAATCCATCCAGCTTCGATAGGTCGACCACCTCAGGCTCCTCAGGCTCTGGCTCATCCGGCTGCTCATAGTATTCAGCCTTTGCAATAACATTTCCATGTTGGTCAGTGACCTCTCCATCCTCATCAACCGGGCGACCGAGGACCTTCTTTGGTTCACCATTAACGATCTTGCCCACACGCTTGCCCTTGTTGTCCTCAACCCAACCGTCTTCCACGACATGGAGGCCGTCTAAGCCAGCAAAGGGAGGTTCTTCACTATAGTCCTGCTGGGGAAGCGTCTGGGCCCGACCGATCACATTGCCGCGGTTATCCCAGAATTGGCCCTGGTCATCGAGTGTAGCCCCAAGCCGAGTGAGCTTCTTCGGGTCGCCTTCAACCAGCTCACCGACCGGCTTTCCGGTCGATGGGTTGATAATCTTGCCCAGCTTGTTGCATTTTAATCCTTCAAGCGTAGAGAGGGGGGCAATTGCTCTTCGGTGTCATCAGCCTTCTCTTCCGCCGTGCTTTCCATCTCCTTCGTTTCGGAAGTAGCTTTGTCCACCTCCGCTGGTCCTTCCTCGCTGACACTCTTTCCAGCACTCTTCGTGCCCTGAGAACCCGACTTTTGGGATCCGGCAGCACTACCAGCACTTCCGGCTTTGGACACAGGCTCGACACGTCCGACAAGGTCACCTTCGTCGTCGAGGATCTCCCCTTTCTCGTTCGGCGCATAACCGACGAGATCCTGAGCATCTCCCTCCACAACCTTGCCGACTGTCTCTCCAGCCTCGTCCTTGATAAAGCCCCCCTCCGAGACCGGAATTCCATTCAACTCAGCAAGACCACCGATCGTCTTCTTCGCCTGACCTGTGTTTTCCTCGATCGCCTCCGGAAGCGCCTCAACACGACCAATCAAGTCGCCATCATCATCCAGGATCTCGCCATTATCGCCAACGGCATATCCGACAAGATCCTGGGGCTCCCCCTCCACGATCCTACCAACCGGGTTTCCATCATCACCCAACACCTGACCCCACTCGCTAACCTCGAGTCCCTTCAAGAAAGACAAATCAACACCGGTAGTGGTCGCCAATGTCTGTTGACCGGTCCTTGTCAACGCCCCAGCAGTGTCCGTTACCTTACCCGCCAGACCACCCGCCGGTCCCCCAACAGACCCAGAAGCCTGCGATTGTGTTTCCTCCGGCGCATCTCTCTGCTCGCCCTGCATTGTCTTGCGTGGTTTCGGTGACGGAGTGGCCGGCTCTTCGGGTACGTCTTCTTCGATCGGCTTGCGGCTCCGGACCTGGAGCTTCTGGGGGGTTCTCTTCAAGGGGCTCTCCTCGGCGACATGTCCAGCGCTCGAGCCTGATCCGGCTCGTAGCTTTCGGGGAGTACCAGTGGCTCTCTGCACTGTGGGAGATGACATGTTTGATTCGGGAACAGTATATGAGGGCGGTCGTAGACTGAAAGGGGTCTTCAGCGGAGAGAAGGGCGATGTGAGTTGCTGTCCTATTTTGTGAAGTTCAATAAGATATTAGATTAATGGATATAATACAATTGTTAATGCTCGTGAATCTTTTTGGAACGTAATAATCATGCATACAAGAATAGCGGATACTACACCCCAGATACTGAACGCTTGTGCTATTAAATAACTTCAGCGTCGCGATCGAAGCTCTCAATACAAGATATCCCAGATCCACATACGTCATGTCCACCGCGTCAAAGATCCATGTACGTCATATTGGGGTGACATTCTTGTGGCAGGATAATCAGTGTACAGTCCATAGATTCTTGCAGAGTTTCCTTGACATAATGGTTGAAGTATGGCAGACCGGGTATGGCAAGAATGTGTCTAGACATATCTCTATATCAGAACTTATTATATCTTTACAAGCCCTTAGTATATTCTGCATCACTCAAATAGTTGTATAGAACATCTACTTGAGAATACACCCACAATGCTACGGAAAAAAGAACAAAGCAAAGTCGCTCTCCGGCATCGTATACAAACTTTCTAGCCCTACTACCCGTAATGCTTGTGTGGCCCGAAACCTCGCCACAGGGTATAATTACGTCAGTCAAGGCGATCAAGAAGGCTAACATTGGACATTAAAGAATAAGCCTGGAAGATGGATGGTCCAATCCCCCTAAATTATATTGAAATATATCAGATACGACTGCAGATGGACAATACAGTAACCAGACCCACAGCCTTATACGCAAAACATATTATATTGTATGTTTGTGCAATTCATAGACAGACTCAACCTTAATATCTATTGGCCGAACTATGCGATGAATACTCAAGTCCTAGTAAACAGACCCAGTACCTGTTGAGCCAGACAAACCCTACCCATGGGTCTAGACACAACCACACGGGCTGAAACCCGCCTCACGTCATCAGCGTCCATACGTCAATCCCATCATGCAACGTGCACCATCAGCCAATCCACATCTTTCGGGGGAGTCGACAGTAGTGATCGACATGATATCAACGGCTCGGCAGATGGTGTGGGCTTCTAAATTCTCCGATTGGAGGCGTGCAGGGATGGGTATGATCTCATCCGGGGCTTGGAGAGCGAGAGACTGTAATGCCGGCGTGGGTATCCACTACTCTTTGTCACAGGTTGGTGGGGTTTCTTGAGATTTTGTGGAGATTCTTGGGATATACTGTGAACGTATCAAGTTCATCAGGGCCGTAGTCTTATGCGGTACACAGTACAACACGCAAATCAAGTCCATCGCTTTCTGTATACTTCATAGATCCTGCAGATTCAGATATTCCCTGCGGATTGACGCAATAATGACAGTTAATACGGCCTTCCTTGTAGAACTTAATTAAAGTCTAACAGCGAAAGCATAGTGGTCTATCATTCGAGGCCCACGGAAGTCAATCTCTTGTTAAGTGCCACAATGACGATCGCTAGTATGGACAGCACAGTTAGACTACTGTCAAAACGGCCTAGCCCTTGTAGCGCAAAGGTAGCGCGTACTCCAGTCTTGCAGAGTACATTCGACTGATCGGTCGGTATACCACCCCATGTAGATCTCTGATACCTTTTGGCCGCATGGACGTTCGTTATGATCATGGGCAGGCAGACACATAGCAATTTTAGCTACCAGATATACGGTATTCGTCTCTTTTCTACCTGTGGTTCTTCTGGTAGAACACTTACCCTCTATAATATCCCTCGTATCCATAATAGATTAAACGCAAATGACGCCAGCTTACTTTCCAAGCTCCTTTCCATGAATTCTATAGGGCAGAAAGCCACAGCCTGTGTTGCATCGCATCAAAATGTGATCGGGTAATATTTTCTCGGGGCAGGTAAAGGGCCACTGTGAAGTTCTGTTTCGCTGCTATTCTTGTTTTCCTCTCGTACTAGCTCACCTAACTGACGTAATTTGTGACCTGTGGCGAGTTTTCAGGCTACTTAGACTTTTTTTATATTAACGGAGATTAAGTGGTGGAGCTGCCCAATCTTGGCGGGACTGTATAGTACTGCATAGTGAGTCAGCGGGCTTCATTTCTGGCATAACTCGCTGCATTATGGTTTTAGTGGAGTTTAATAGGGCGTTGGGGATAGAGTGAATATGCAACGATTGCTCTTCTATATAGACTCAAAGACTCAGAGACTGGAGGTGGACAGGTATTAGCATGTCAGAAACAATTGAACTTAGACTCAACGGATAGTTGAAGTATGAGATATTCTGGGTTAGGGAATAGAACCGTCGTATATATAAAATCTCTCGATGATGCACTTGCGGCAGAACACTAGACGACTTGAAGATAGCATAAGACCATTATACTAATAACCACAAAGACGAAACTAGGGAGAGAACAAGAGGAATAATGACTATTTTGATACGAATTCAGTATTACCTGAGTCGATATATCGCTCACCAAACGTACTATTTACCACCTCAAGCCCGGGATGCGTCCTCAGACCAGACCTACTTCGTGAAGAAAGACCATTTCTGCTAGCGAGAACGGCAACCAGCATTGCAACATTCGCAAATATCGAAACTACATATACAAATATGTTGTCAATACAAAATGCCACGGACTCATACCATTCATGTCCTAATGATTGAAGTGCATGAAATCAGGCAAGATCTTGGGCACAGGAGTAGCACGTGGGCGAAACTGCCCTACTGGTTTGGTAGCATGCCATGCATTCCATCGCGAAGCAACCACACCCGAGGGTGATCTTCTTCGACGATTTGGACTTTGCAATGTGAACGCCAGTTGTTCGGTAGGTGAGTCCTTGCGCGCAGTTTGGCAGCGTACATGTCGTCGGTCAGCGCATTAAACGGACTTTTGAGGCACTCCCATTGGCTTCGCTAAGCAGATCACACCGGTCGCAAGTACCATCATCAGTGAAGTAAGCCATCATCTAGTCATTGCCTTCTCCATGGATGATCTTGCAGTGACTGAAAGCCTTCTCAAACTGGACCCTAGGAGCCTCCTTACCGGGTTCCACCAGCTCATCGCGCAGGACCAAGCGACTAAATAAAGCACCTTCGGTATAACCCAGCAAGCGGCCGACGTCTAGCAGAGGGCGAGCCAGTAAAAATAAATTGCAGGAGCTGTAGATAGCCACCAGTCTGCGAGAACCCTCCGTGGATAGACAGGCTCGAAAGCCCGCTAGACCAGCACCAATAATTATCGCTTTAAAGCCCGATTCGATGGCGCTAGAACCCTGAATCTTGGCTGGCCCTGGTTAATCTTAGATCCTTGTGTATCATAGGTCTAGATGATCGCTGAACTTCACTTATCCGACAGATTGAAAAGCCCGCGGAGGAACGCAAAGTTGATTCCTACATCACGAAGTGACAAGTCAGCGTAGTAATAGATGTAGGGACTGGATGTCAATCATTAAATAAAACAGGGATTGAAGATAGCTCAAAGTCCTAAGACAAATTCGGCTATCACAAGCGATCGGCTCATAAGGGTAGCTTTCATAAAGTGGAACTTTCGCGAATCCAGGTAATTGGACAAGAGTCATTCTACAATAGCATGATCTATGATGACAGACTAGAATAGATAAGCTGACATTAGTAGGACAAGAGCTCAGATTGTATTTAGGACTAGGGTTACCCTTCCGCGAATAGCAACTTGGGAGGCAGGTTCGGCTCTTCTCTAGACTGTTTGAGAATCTGAGGCCATGAAGGATACCACACAGGCCCTCAATCGATGCAAGAAAGACCAGGAGCTCGTCGCAATACGCCCAGTGTCACCTTTAAACCTTCCCAATGTGAAGCTTCGGGACAATGAAATTGTAAAGATTGTTGATAGGCAGTGGAGAAAATTGAGCTCGGGGAATACCGCGCGGGATTGACTCGGTGGGCGAGCTCAACACTGATTTGGTTTGCATTTGCATGGTGAATGTATCATTTACAACGAGGCTATGGTTGGTATAGCTACCCGAGATTACTAGGTCGTATTCACAAAGTAACCAACACATCGCGGCCTTAGGGCAATCCATCCCATGTTAGGAAAGTTCATACGAAAAAGGGAGAGATGAAGGAACATCAATCAACGTGCTTTCTTTTTCTGTTCCTGGGTCAATGCCTCCCTATTTTTCAAACATATTTCAAACCTTTATTTGTATACTGATATGCAGCGTGCTGTGATGGACCAAGTTGACAATCGCCCAGTCAGCCTTTTAATTCTACAATGCCTATAAATAAATTGGACACCCCGTCAGTTCCCGGTTGTAGTTTTAATGGTAGACCCGATTGCAACAACCCTTTACGTCAAACGCCGATGCAGATTAAAATGTCGTTCTAGGCGGTTGTAAGCAAGAAAAGATATAAACAGCTCGGCAGCCCTGTCTGGAAGAGCACCTTCTTGGGTTACATTCGCGTCTAATTGCAGCCCTCTAAGGTGACACCTTGTAGAGCTACACTGGACATATTCTCATGGAAGGGAATATGACTGAAAGGAATGTGGAGCCTTCCTTTGGGAATACAAGACTTGGAGCTAGGGCGTTTGATTGCACTTGAGCCGGCTAAGCCTCTATTATGCCAGACTAGACGTTAAGACATTTGCATACCTCTGTACTTCGGAGGCAGAAACAGTAAGAGCACTAGAGACCAAATATCTCAACATTGACTGGCGCCATATGAACGTTTGCTCTGCTAACAAACGGTAGAGGACAGTTTAGAGGCGCAAAGCTCCTCCACCTTATATGTTAGATCATTCAATGTTGATGATAGAAAGTGCGAAATAGCCCCAAGAAGAGTGCCTATCGGTTCTCGCCCATTGTGCGCTCTTCCGAGCACAGTCTGTTGTATCAAGCAAAGAACTTTGCTAATATACCGAAGCTCATAGAATAGAACCTGGGCTGTGATACGCTGCTCAGCAACAATATCAAGTTCGAAGTCACCGAAATATATTGGTGTAACAGGGAGAGGTTCCATGAGGTTAACAGGGCTCTTGGCAGGTGAGTGCTGATCGATGCGATCGAACACCGTTCGATACCACGACAAGGCTTTTGACATTGTGGTAACAATCAGGAAAAGAATACTGGTGTCTTTAAGGCAGTCGGTACATTCTCGAGATAGAAGCTGATCAAGATTTTGTGCTGCCGTGCGGTTGATCTTCAGGATGTGGTCATTCGATGGCAAGCCACAGCCCCTTTCCAATCGACATGTGGCCTCAGCGCGGTACATCTCTTGCAAAACATCGAATGCTAGACTAGTGCATGGGCATAGGTTTCTTGAAGTACAGGGATCTGGAGGTGAAAAGTAAGACTCTGACACAGCCGGCTCCAGTGGGGGATACGATTCACTTTCTCCGAGGAAAGGTAAGGACTTGGTCTTCGGTTGTCCCGGTAGGTTATTTATTGTCGTGCCAGCGTAATCTAATGGAGCTGGTATAGCCGGTAAACCTTTGCCATCATCATCGCCTGGCCGAATATATATACCGTCGAGTTCACACTGGAAGTCAAATGAGACGGGTTCCAGGCCTGAGAAGAGAGAAAAGTCCGACGAGTTCACAGGGCCTCCAGACATCAGATGTTCAGCCACCTGTATATCTTGAGCTATCGATTGGTCAAAGGCTTCCACCCGTTTGAAAGGAACTCGTCTTTCAGTTCGCATGTAAGAACTCGATAGTCCATTTTGGGTTGCTGTCGACCGTCCTTTCCACCGATACGGACCGTAAACACAATGTTGCTGCACCGATTCGCATCGTTCGCAGCGGGGTTTCTTTTTGTCGCAGCGGACTTTCAGAATTGTACAACGGTCACAAGTAGACCGAAGTCTCCTAGGCACCTGGGTTTTATCTGTATGTTGCTGGTCGATTGGTCCTTTGTTGGACATCTCCATTCTGAGACGCTGTACCATATGTCAGAATCATGTACTCAACATCTGCGTACATGGAGATGCGCAAGGCTACATACTCATGCCTCACAATGATATTCCGTACATAAATGCTCCTGAAGAATACCGAGGGGTGGCATCCGATGCACACGAGACTACAAATTACGAATACCTCTATATACGCGCGGAACACTAGCCCATAGAAGCCTCCATTCTCGTTTTCAACACATACACCTCCCAATCGCTTCGCTAAAGGGCTAGGCAGCAAACAAGGATTAACTTTGGAAAGCTCGTGTTGAGAGAGCACCCACTTAGGGAACATTTCCCGAAGCTGGTAAGAACTATGCGTGAGACGCCAAGGTGATACAATAGATCCCACCCGCTACGATGGTTCAGTAGTAGGTACCACAGACATGGCTGTCCCTAGTTCCCTGGGGCCCTTAAGGCCTCACGAGCCGAGGATCAATTGGCTGGACAGCCTCCAATCTTCCTAAGTTTTGTTTGGACCAGTAGGATGACAGGATCTGTCCTACCTTGTGATGTGCTAGGGGTTTATAGCAAGACATCTGGACTTGGCCAAACGTGGCTAGCTGTGATATCGATCCCAGATACAGGTTCATTGGTAGGGTCAACTGCCTTATCAGAGTTCATCCTTCGCAGGGGACGTGATACGAGCCCTAATACAAGGGTCGGGACACCCCGTCACAATGCAAGCCGCTCAGTAGGCATCAACATAACCGGATTTAGCAACTAAGAAACGAAACTCGTTTATCGCTACCAATAATAGCGAGCAGTGCTACCTTAGTATTCCACTACTGGAACAATGTAACACTACTAAGAATAGTGCATTGTGAGCTGGTGGAAGAAGAAATACTAGTTGAACGAACACTGCACTAGGGATGATCAGAAATTCTGGCCCACGGGGTCAGCCGCACATGTAAATTAAATTTACGGTCTTCTTGGACTGGGTAGACATGAGTATTTGGACACTGGGCAACATAGGTGGATTATAAACTCGCCTAGACCTCGATGATGGACCTTGGAGTACGAGAAGCCAAAGAAGACCGTTTCATGCATTTGGTTACTCCATGATGCGTATGTAGGATACCAGGGGGTGCTAATGGGCCATCCACAACATGTCAATAGATGGGTCATTCTTGGCTTGCCATCGACCAAGAGCCCTCCCAGGAGCCTTCCCTGACCTACAACATAGCGTGTGATCTGAGAGAGCATCTGAGATGTTCAACCAAACCTACCGACTAAGTACTGTGACCATCAGCGTGTTAACGTTATGTGGTATCATAGAACCTGGTATTGGTCACTGAGTGCTTCTCAGTCGGAGAGACAAGAGACTCCAGCCTTGCGCAAGTAGGATATGATGTCTGTAGTGCCATTACGACTATCCTGACTTGCCTTTAAAAATATCGGACAAGCTACGGAGGGTATTTGGAATAATACATGTTGGTGTGTGGTGATACCGCCCAATTTCTCGTATTCATTGTTCAGGGTACCAAGTCACTGTGTGAAACAGGAGGCAAAGGCTATATCAACGTGATAATTTGGACTGCAAAGCCACTTGTTCAGAGTCCGAGAAATACCAGAATAGCTCATTTCTTATGAATAATCCCCTATTCGCTGCCAGCAAATTAATTGACTCCATGTATGCATTAACCAAGAGGATAGTTGAGTGTATCTGTGGTGTTCTACGGAAGCCAAATATCTATAGCAAAGGTCCACTACACGTACTGCAGATTACTTTCAAGTGTTGAGTCATAGGAATAGGGCCTAAATCGTTTCCATAGTTTGAAAATTTGATTTGACCTTATAGAGTGCGAGCGATATACGGGGCCTATGTCATCAAACATGGTAGCAATAGGAAGCGTCACTCTACCGTCGGTCACCGAGAACGGGGCATGGACGGATCAAGGCCACTAGTTGACCAAAGCGTACGGGCACCAAATTGTAGATAGGTGTTAGTAGCATTCATTAATATCATACAGTGTGATGGATCCTGTCTCTCCATCTCTTGCCTGTCGCAAATTATGTCTGCCAATGGCGACTTCCTTGGTGAAGTAGGCATATACTAGGCAAAACATTAATTTACGGATACCTAGGCAGCAGAGGTGCCTTAGGATCGACTAATGTGTGGCTTTGCATAGGTACATGGGGGGTACTCGATATAGTGCGCATGATGTGCCTGTGTCCAAGGCACACCTGCCACTGCCCGGGGGAACCCCTAAGAATATCATTTCCCACCAGAGGGTCAGACGACATCTACCGATGGAAGACAGTGATGCAATGTCCATATCCTCTGAGATCACCTCTCAGCCTCAAGTGTCACGTTCCAGCCGTGAAATCTCTGGTGCCTGCATCTAGCAGACCCGTGTCCAGCCCTGAACCGACGGCATCCCTGCTCTTGACTTAAGTGATATTGCCATGCAGATGACCTCGCGCTAGAATTCGAACTGGCTCTGATGTTACATCAGTAAATTTCTTCAATATTCAGGTGGACCAAGGTCGGGAAGAAGTGAGCTATGATCTGTCTTGTGGCTTTAAGAACGGGGGTCTGTATAGCTGGTTAGCTTGGGGAGATACTCAATAGATTGTGGGCTTTGCCTCCGCTTGAGTTCAGTTGAAACGTTAGGTATTGTCATATGATCAATAATGACATGATTGTCGAATGCTATTCGCCACGGTTCTGAGGGCTGAGAGAGAAAGCTATTTCCGGTTTCGTGTTATTGCGCGTGGATATGTAGACCATTGTGATTCCCATGGGTTTCCTTGAAAGGTCTCGAATACCTATAGCATGTTGTGAGACTAAATGCAGCCTAACTTGCCCAAGCTAGGCAAATACATGTGCGATTGTTGGTATGATAGTGGAGGCCATTGTTGCTGAAATTGGGCTTTCTGCATTGCTTCATCACAAGATGGAGAAGAAGGCGGCGCGGTGTAGTCATCGTGAAATGCAGGCAGCCGTGGGATATCTGCTAATGATCTGACTAAGTGCTCTGACCTACAGTAAGACCTATTCCATCTCTGCACATATATAGCATTGCTAAGCTTCGAGAGTACATAGGTGTTTCCCGAGCAGTTCGGAAGGGTTTCAGCTACCGGTAAGCGGTAACCATCAGCGAGCACGGAATAGCATAGCTGATGTGATCCTATCGCCGAAAAAGCCTGAACTCATAAGACCAGGGATAGGTATCTATGGCCATGACCCGAGCACCGTAAAGGCTTGCTTACATCCCGAGGTATCCGAAAGGGAGCGGCAGCTACCGATAATCCATTTTATGGGACCCAGACTATCGGATCCACCCTCGGTATGCTGCCTCTTGTGATACGTCAGAGTCGCTGTAAGATGTGATGAAGTGCCCTGATGTCTGTGAGCAGATGCGCCCATAAGATGCGATGCCCGTATCGAGCCAACCTTACAGTCATCATGACTGCAACGCTGAGGCTAACCCTTTATGTATAGTTATCTCGGTGTTCCAAAGGGGTCAGCCTGGCAGTCTTATGGATGACAGGGCTATTGTGGACAGACATCCTGACCGGACGAGAGCCGGTCACATAGGCTTCATGTTAGACATATAAAGATACATAACCCCAGTAATACCTGCTGCATGTAAAGAATCTCAGTAGCCCTCAAGGCCAGGAGCTTAACTGTCAAGATCTAGTCCTTTCGTCAGAACCATGTTCGAGGAGTGCAAAGAGATTGTTCTCTTCGGGGACTTGACCTGTGACTCGGTCGCGGGTCTTCGAGCCCTGGTCAATATTAAAGACAATCCTCTTTTGACCTCCTTTTTCGAACGAGTTACAGCCGGTCTTCGAGAGGAAATTGGTCTTCTTCCGTTCTCGCAGCGTCAACGATTCGTCCGATTTACCAAATTTGAGGAGCTTCTCGCTAGAGCCCAGCGCTCAGCTTGTCCCCATCCTGGACTTGAGAAGGCGTTAGCGTGCACCTATCAACTGGCATGCTTTATCAGGTGGGCTTCCTACGCGACTGAATAGTATAGTGTGTTGGACTGACTGGTGAGGGCAACAGGCAATACACCTCTCCCGGCCGCAAGTATCCCTCGATTCATCGGACTTGCCTCATAGGTCTTTGTACTGGTCTCCTCAGTGCAGCGGCTGTGGGGTGTTGCGAGAGCATCACAGACCTCCTCCCCCTGGCGACACACACAGTACTTATAGCGTTTCGCGCGGGTCTATTTGTTGCCGATGTGCGTGACAGACTGGAGCCGCCGGCTGGGTCACCCGTGGCGTGGAGTGTTCTGATTCCTGGCTTAGATGGTGACACAGCTGTCTCGATCTTACAGAGGTATAGTGAGGAGAAGGTACATACGTTGACCCATACATATACGCACATTGTACTGATACCATCGATAGGGCCTTCCCGCTACATCAGCCCCATACATCAGCACATATGCCAACACCGGAGTTACTCTGAGTGGCCCACCGAGCGCACTTAATGACCTTCTTAATTCAGGCTGCTTCCCAAAGAACCGGTCACTTTCTATTCCTATATACGCCCCGTACCACGCTTCTCACCTCTACGGACAAAGCGACATAGACAATATCCTCCGAAAGGCTAGGGCGACGCAGTTTGCCTCATACCAGTGTCAATTCAGTGTTTTATCTTCCATCACTGGACAGAGCATCGGGGTCGAGACATACGGAGCACTAATTGGTCACGCCCTGAATGAAATTCTCCGGGAGCCCCTTCGACTGGACCGCATCGTCTCTTCCCTAGGTGAGACATTGTTATCAGAGTCACCCGTACGAAGCTGCACGATCCTTCCCATCGCCACACTCGTTGGCCAAAGCTTCGCTGCCGCGCTCCGAAAGCAAGGAGTTCCAGATATAATAGTAGACCCGTGCATGAACTCCAGTGTTGCTGTGCAGGATGATCGAACATCCACCACTGGACATCTAGGCCATTCTAAACTAGCCATCATCGGATACTCTGGCCGGTTTCCTGATGCCAATAATACCGAGGAGTTCTGGCAACTACTTCACGAGGCCGCGACGTCGCCAGCATAACACCCAGTAATCGTTGGGATATTAAAACGCATGTGGATCCGAGTCTCAAAAGGAAGAATACCATGGGCACGCCGTACGGATGCTGGCTGAAGGAGCCAGGCCTTTTTGATGCCAAGTTCTTTGCTCTAAGTCCTCGAGAAGCACCGCAGGTTGATCCTGCGCAGCGTCTCGCGCTTATGACCGCGTACGAGGCAATGGAATTTGCGGGATTTGTGCCGGACTCAACACCTTCTAGTCAATCTGATCGAATTGGAGTTTTCTATGGCACCACGAGCAACGACTGGGGTGAGACAAATAGCTCGCAGGATGTTGATACATAGTACGTTTTTTTATTTGTTTTATTTTTCTATTTTATCTGTTTTATTTTTTCTTCAGTTGTGCGCTGCCAGCATATAGCTTCCCTTAGTCGTGCTTTCCTTCATTTTTTATGCTTCTATACTTGGTTATTGCCTATTTCATTTGCAGGCATAGAACTTCGCTGCTAACAGAACTCCCACTAGCTACATTCCTGGCTCATGCCGAGCTTTCATACCAGGACGCCAAAACTTCTTCTACAAATTCAGCGGTCCAAGCTACAGCGTTGACACAGCCTGCTCTTCGGGGCTAGCCGCCCTCCACCTTGCCTGCAACTCACTGCTCAAAGGTGACATCGACACAGCCATTTGCGGTGGAACTAATGTTCTTACCAATCCCGGTAGGCACAATGCCCTACAGTCCCACATTGCCTGATACTAACACATCCCAGATATCACCGCCGGCCTTGATCGTGGGCACTTCCTCTCTCGAACAGGAAACTGCAAGACCTTCGACGACGATGCAGATGGATATTGTCGCGGAGAGGGTGTATGCACAATGATTATTAAACGACTAGAGGATGCCAAGGCAGACAATGATCCCATCGTCGCTGTGATTCTTGGGGCGTACACCAACCATTCTGCTGAGGCAGAGAGTATTACTCGGCCGCATATTGGGGCGCAGAAGGCTATCTTCGAGAAGGTGCTTACTTCGGCTGGCGTTGAGCCTTATAGCGTGGGGTATGTGGAAATGCATGGTACTGGGACTCAGGCTGGTGAGTGCTGCTCTCTCGATATGGTTGAGGTTGATGTGGCTTTACTAAATTGTGTGTTTGTGTAGGTGATGCCAGGGAGATGAAGTCCGTTCTGTCGATCTTTGCGCCTGAGACAGAAAGGCCACGTACTGATGCTGAGAAACTGTTTTTGGGCTCTGCGAAGGCTAATGTTGGCCATGGGGAGTCAGTCTCTGGTCCTATTGCTATGATAAAGTCGCTCATGATGCTGGAACGGAACGAGATACCCCCTCATTGTGGAATCAAGACAAAGGTGAGATGGATTTCGTCCCCTTCGAATGGCTATATATTGACTATACCAAGATCAACAGTGGCTTCCCGACGGATCTCACGGAGCGCAATGTCCACATAGCTAAGAAGCCTGTTCCATGGGAAAGGCCGGAAGGTGGTGTACGCCGAATCATGATTAACAACTTCTCCGCAGCCGGTGGCAATAGCTCTGTCTTGATCGAAGATGCGCCAGTCTTTGAGCCCAAAAGCAAGGAGGCTGATCCTCGCGCTAACCACCTCATAGCTGTCAGCGCCAAGTCGAGTACTGCGTTGGTAGCTAACATCAAGTCCTTGTTGTCATACATGACTACTACAAAGCCAGCACTCCCCAGTCTATCATACACAACGACTGCCCGCCGCATGCACCACCCATTTAGGGTCATGGTAAGTGGGTCCGACCTGTCTGAGGTTCAGGCTCTATTAGAGAACAAGCTCGTGTCTCCCACGGTTCAAAACCGAACCAGGGCCGCCCAGCGTGTTGCATTCGCATTCACCGGCCAGGGATCGCAATACATTGGCATGGGTGAAAGTCTAATACACTTCAGTACCTTCCGCAGCGATATCGAGCGATATGACGGCATCGTACAAACCCTTGGTTTCCCTTCCTTCTTGCAGTTGATCGAATCGAGAAATGGTGATATTTCCGAACTTCCGCCCCTGGTTGTTCAGGTCGGAACGGTATGTATCCAAATAGCCATGGCCCGTCTATGGCGATCTTGGGGAATAGAGCCCTGTGCCGTGGTCGGCCATAGCCTCGGTGAGTATGCAGCACTGAACATTGCTGGCGTACTTTCTGAAGCAGACACCATTTTCCTGGCTGGGAAGCGGGCGCAGCTGTTGCAGGAGAATATTTCAGCCAACACCCACGCCATGCTTGCTATCGGTACCGGTGTGGAGGAAGCGAGATCGCTGTGTGGGGATCTGGAATACGACATCGCGTGCATCAACACATCAAGAGAGACCGTCTTGAGTGGGACGAATGAGCAGATCGACCGCATACTCGATGTACTGTCTTCTACAAATCTCAAGAAGACTAGACTTCGTGTTCCGTTTGCATTCCATTCTTCCCAGATGCAGCCCGTGCTTCAGAAGTTCAAGGCCGCTGCATGGAGTGTTAAATTCTACGAGCCAAAAGTTCCTGTCATCTCGCCTCTGCTTGGAGAGGTCATCACATCGAAGCAACCATTTGGACCAGAATATCTAGCTCGCCACTGCAGAGAAACCGTCAACTTTGCCGCTGCACTCGAAAGTGCAAAGACGGATGGAGTCATCAGCAGTGCACTGTGGATCGAGATAGGAGCCCATCCCATTGTGTCAGGATTACTGAGAAACAACCTCGACTCAACACTCAAGACCGTTCCAACCCTGCAGCGTAACAAGGACACCTGGAAGGTACTTACCGCCAGTTTGTCTTCTTTGTATGAGTCTGGTGTCGACATCAGATGGTCCGAATACCACCGCGACTTCATCCCGGGCCTTTCAGTCCTACGACTCCCATCATATAACTGGGACCTGAAGGAATACTGGATGCAATATGTCAACGACTGGTCTTTGTACAAAGGGGATGCACAGTTCCTAAAGGGGGCACCTGGGCTATCGACGACCTGCGTCCATAAGCTCGTCGAGGAGAAGAAGGACGGCAGCAAAATCACCGTTGTCGGTGAGGTGGATGTCCTCCGCGACGATGTGGACCCGTTTGTTCGTGGCCATCGTGTCAATAATCTCCCTCTCGTCACTCCATCTGTTTATGCTGAAATGGCGCTAGTGATTGGAGAATATCTCCGTAAGCAGCAGACCAGACTGTCTGAAGCCCTGGTGGATTTACAACATATGGACGTGCAACGACCTTTTGCGACCAAGAGTAAAGGCAAAGGTCCTCAGCTTTTGCAATGCCAAGTCGTGCTTGATTGCGAGACCTTCCAGGGATCTGTGGAGTTTTGGAGCGTCACACCAGAAGGCAAGAAGCTAGTGAGACACGCAATCGCTCGCATCACGTTCCCAGATGCGAAGGCCGCTCAGGCGGAGGTCCAGCAGCGTGCGGAGAGCATTCTACAGGAAATGGAAGACATGGCTGCAAGAGTCAATACTGACGAGCGAGTACAAAAGTTCACCGGTAAGACCGGATACAACTTGGTATCATCACTCGCCTCCTATGACCCCGAATACATGGGTGTTTCCTGGGTGCTCCTGGACAGTGCCCGGTTGGAAGCTGTTGCGACTGTTAAATTCAACAACCCTCGAACAGATGGAGTCTACCATGTAAATCCATACCTGATTGATAATCTTGGACAGCCGGCTCTCTTCGTTATGAACGCTAATGACCAAGCCGATCTCAGCAAAGAAGTATTCGTCAACCACGGCTGGAAGTCCCTGCACTTCTACAAGCCGCTGTCAATCAATAATACCTACCGATCACACGTTCGGATGAGCGGGCCAGATGCTGATGGCCTGTATGGCGGAGACATGGTCGTCTTCGAGGGTAAGGAAGTTGTCGCCCTGTACAAGGGTATAAAGGCACAAGGAGTCCCACGAAGGCTCATGGATTATATTGTTCACATGCGAGACGATACCAAAGCCGGTGCTCCTGCTGGGGGAACTCTTCATGCTGGCCATATTGCTGCACCGAATTCAGAAGCCGATCCGTTAACAGAGACTGTCAGTATAGCTAACGGCCCAGATAGTTGGAAAGCCGCACTCAAGATAATATCGGAGGAAAGTGGTGTCCCGATCGCCGAACTGTCGCCCGAAGCAGCATTCGATGATCTAGGAGTGGATTCGCTTCTTGCGTTGCTCTGCGCCAGCCGCTTCCGCGAGGAACTAGGCTTGCACTACGAGTCATCCATCTTCCTGGATCATCCCACCATCAAGGAGTTAGAAACATTCTGGAAGCAGGGGGCACCCGAGACCGGAACAGTCACTGTGAGCGGCCGCGACGCTGTCCTAAACTCCATGTTTGCCGAAGCAGAAGCAGAGGTCGACCAAGACAAGAGCAGTAGCGACGGGGACCGATCATCACTAGGCACCAGCTCGTACGAAGTTATCAATGCCAACACGACAGAAACCACGCCGGAGATCAGCAAAACTTGTTTACCCAAGATCTCCGCAACCTCGCTTCTCCTACAGGGCAACCCAGCTCTGCCCTCAACAGTCAAGACTCTATTCCTGCTCCCAGACGGCTCCGGATCGTGTTCCTCCTATGCAGGGCTTCCGCGTATCCACCCATCCATAGCTGTCGTAGGCGTGAACTGCCCATTCATGAAAAGCCCAGAGTCCTACACATGCGGTATCGACGAGGTCACGCAGATGTACATCACAGAAATCCGGCGGCGCCAGCCCCATGGACCGTATGCGCTCGGTGGATGGTCTGTGGGTGGTATCTTCTCCTATCACATCGCACAACAGCTGTCAGCGCAAGGCGAGCAAGTCAGCGAGTTGATTCTCATCGACTGCCCGGTCCCCAAGGGTCTGGACCACCTCCCACGCCGCTACTACGAGTACTGCGATACGATCGGGCTACTCGGCGACGTGAACGGAGTCAAACGAGAACCGCCACCCTGGCTGATTCCCCATTTCGAGGCTTGCGTCAACAGTCTGCATTCGTACCACGCAACACCCTTCGTCTCTGACGACGTGCCCCGTACACAAATTATCTGGGCCTGCGACGCGATCGACAAACACTGCGAACCCAAGTTCGAGCGGAGACCAGACGACCCGGAGGGACTGAAGTTCCTCACTGCCACTAGAACTGATTTTGGTCCGTGTGGCTGGGAAACTCTCCTCCCGGAAGAGGATATCACCTTGGATATGATGACGGGGGCTAATCATTTCAGTATGATGAAGGGGGAGTTTGCGAAGCGCTTGAGTGAGATGATTGAGGGATTCTTGATGATTGGAAATTGAACTATTAGATTTGTTTTGCTTCAATGCTGTGTTTGTGTTTTATTTTATCTATGCTTGGTAGTTATATTTATTGTTCAGTGTCCGCAATGCACTTTTCACACCAATGCCTTGTTCTTTCCAGGGACATATAAAGCTACTAACAGCATGTTAAAATCTGCATGATTATGACAATGGTATCTGCTATTTTATGCAAGTGGCGACCGTCGACAAATCAAATGAGCCTTCATCTCTTCAAAAGAGAACTCGCATAATGAACGTTCCCAAATCACAACTACAGTTGACCTACACCAAGTGATCTACGAAGATTCTACGAAGATTCCAGCTATTACCTAAAAATCAAATTAACTCAGTAGTATAAGGCCATTCCTACTCATATTTGGTATCACGAAACCAAGCTAACTAAACATTACCACAAACACAATAACAATCCAGCAAACATCTCTTCGTCCACCACAGTCTTCAGTATAAGAATGTCAGTCTAAGACATGGTCGGACAAACAGTTTCATCTCACATAAGGATAGAAGCAGCGTGCAAGGTTCATGACTACACTTGCTTCTCCGGGGTTACTTGCGTAGCCGAGACGCCAGTATCCTCGTGTGCGGGATTAATCTTGAGATTGCCTTCGATGATCTCTCTCTCGAGCTCCTCCATACGACTGCGCTTCTCGAGCTTGCGCCAGGCGGGGAGGCCGCTGTCGAAGACATCGTCCATTTCCTCTAGTGTGAAACCTTTGGTTTCGGGGGCGGTGAGGAACATGTGGATGAAGGCGGCGGTGTTGAAGGCAGCGAACTGTGATACGGAAAGAGGTTAGTCAATGGCAATGGATACTGGACTGGATAGTGCGAGTAGAACATACAATCATGTACATCTTCCAGTTGATCGACCATAGCAAAGGTGGGACGAAGAGGGCCAGCAGGCAGTTCCAGACCCAGTTGGAGGCGGTAGCCAGCGAGACTGCTTTGGCACGGACTTTCGCAGGATAGATTTCAGCCGGATAGGTCCACGAGGTCGGGCCGATGGTCGTGGCGAAGGAACACACGAACAGATAGGATAATGCGATAATCGCCTTCCCCACGGCGGGGTGGTCGGCGACCGTCCACGAGATAGCAGCGAGCTTGGGATCAGTGCCAGGGTTGGGCGCTCCAAAGCCTCCTTGCAGCCCACCTTCCAGGTAGAGGAAAATCGCCTGGAGGAAGAATCCAATGAGAATCGCCGGGCGTCGGCCAAACTTATCCAGGTAGAGAATGGCAGGTAGAGTCAGGGCCGTGTTGAGAATGTATTGAATTGACGCGGTGAGCAGGGGTGATCCGGCACCGGTGCTCTGCATGATATAGACTGTCGAGTTATCAGCATCTTGCAACTTGGTCAAACCAACAATGGCTGATGGTCTATCCTTGTATTAGAAATGTCGAACATACCGATGTAGTACATCATCACGTTCATGCCGCACAGCTGCGACCACATCTGCAAGCTCATACCCAAGATGACACGCTTGAAGATGCGAGGCTTGACGAGCTCCTGGAAGCCAGTGTTTGTTTGCTCCCGCTCCAACGCCAGAGCCTCCTGGATTTCTTTGTATTCGGCGAGGACTTTGGGGTGGTTGACATCTCCATTACCGTGCAGCTTCGATAGCACATTCAGGGCTTCCTCCCAACGGTCTTTGCTAGCAAGCCAACGGGGAGACTTGGGGAAGAGGAACATGCCAAAGAAGAGGATAACACCGGGTACGATTTGGATTCCCCATGGAATACGGAAAGCAGCCGTACTCTGCGTCGGGTTGTTCGGGCCGCCGTCGATGTTGCTCGCGCCATATTGCTGCAGGGTTGTCAGTATGGGAATGGCTGTCATGACGAGCACGAGAGACCCACAATGAAATATTGAATCAAGATACCCCATGTAATAGCCCATTGCTGCAGCGATATAACTCGTCCTCGAATTTCTTTTGGTGCGATCTCGGCCTGATAAACGGGGACCATTGCAGACGCGATACCAACGCAACCACCGGCGATGACACGACCGACGACTAAAAGAGCGATTCCGTTCGACGCACACATAAAGCTGGTAGAAATTAGGATTCAATTTTTTCGCTTCAGGGTTGGTTTCACCTACATAGAGCCAATGATCCATAGAATAGACGAGAACTGAATCGCCCTGACACGGGAGAAGCGATCGGCGATAAAGCTAGAGCACAGCGCACCGACGAGCGAACCAAATGGCATCGCACAAGTGATACTGCCCTGGTAATAATCAATACACAAAGCACAGCCTGAAATCTAGTAAAACAATTACTTACCTGTTTGTATTGACCGCTACCAACTTGGAAATAGTTGGTATACGCAGCGGTGCCCAGGACACCTTAACAGAGTGAGCTTATGTTTTGAATCCCAGGGCTCCAGCATTTCTTACCACTCATAGACGAGATATCAAAACCAAACAAACCACCGCCTGCAAAAAAGTTAGTTTCATGTCTCCGACCTCTCTAGCAGACACTATATGCTCACCTAGAGTGGCAAAGCCACAGAGAAAGTAGACGTTGTAGATTTTCTTCATGGTGACAGTTACTGTTGACACCCGGTCAGCGACGCAGGAGCCAAGGTGGGATCAAGCAGAGAACATGTGAAAGAAGTCCCCAGGGACAGGAATCGCCGTATGTTTAAATATGCCGACTGGCTGCAGTGAATGCAGCTTTGGTCGACTGTCCGAGAGTCACTGGTGAATTTCCTCTAATGTAACACTGCGTGTCGGCTGACGGGCATGATTGGAGAGGAGGGATCAACAAAACAGACCCGGGACAGCGATTGGGAGATCTTTACCTTGCCAGAGGATAGAGAATCACAAGTTGCACGGCGTGGCGGACGCCACCAAATAAGAGGCGCGGTTGTGATTCGACGGGACGGGGTGGTGTCTATGAGTTAGAGTCTCGTATTTGTGATCATGGGGGAATTCAACCTTCCCCGCAGTTGTGATTCTGGGGTAAACAAGGTCTCTTTGAAGCTTTTAACCTTTTCTTCTGTTGCTTAAGCCTTTGAAGTGGGACAGTGGACAAGGCCAGTCTTGCAGGGAAACATCGTGCGATGCCACTGCACACAAACAAAGGAACCTGGGGGGGCAGGCACGAGTCAGGGCCTGAAATCAGTTCCAGGTCCACGTAACTATGATCCTGGGCTCGCTTGCGACCTTCGCCCTCGAATACGACTCTGTCCATCCCGTACCATGAGTCTCGTCAACCCTAATTGAGTTAAAGAACAAAGAGCTGCAGAGCTATGCCCCCTTGATAGGCGGATTATCTCCTTGGGCCCTAATCATGTCCAAGCGCGCCAAGGCTGCTTAACGGGTCGAAATAAGACTCCCAAGACCTTAGTGGCTACAGGCGTTGCACCACATGGCACTACGAAGGGTAAAAAAGTAACATTACTAGTCCTAGTAGGGCACAGACGATGGCAATCAACCAAGGGCAAGCAAAGTTCAGTCTTCCCTCCCGTGACCACGAACCGTCCCAAGCTTAGGGTTACATAAATGTCACGTTCAATCAACAAATCCCGCGGTTGGATTTTCAATCGACACCCGAATCATTCCAAATCGTTGGTTGAACACTATGCAGGGGGCTGCAGGGACTGTCATTTTCTTTGGCCATATTGACTAGTAGTCGAAAGCGATTCAACTGAGTTTGTCACGGCATTATATTTCTTCACTATTCCTATGAGCTATCTCAGAACAATATTTTGTGGAACTTGAATTGCAGGAACTTCTGTTTGGCCAAAGAGCTACCATGACACAATAGGGGTCCATAGAATTAGAAGGGAAGATCGTCCTTAGCATTGTACCTCCCTCTAGATTAAGCCCGCGTTGAAGCTGATAATAGGATCTCTACAGAAAATAGGAAAGGTTAGCGTTGCTGGTATAGTACCAACCTCCTGCTTTTAGCCTACGAACCTTCAGCTCATTCCAGGCCAATGTAGTTGCGAACACCGCAGGGCTAAGGTTACTATGAACCCAAAAGTGCTGCTAACGTGGTTGAATAGCAGTAGCTGGACCATCGGTCTGATACCATAACGCAACGCGCCATTGATAGTCAGCTCCTTGATGGCTACAATACATCAACCGGCTCGTTCTCGATTTTGGCGGATTCAAGTTCATTGCACAAATCGAGGGCCGACTTCAACGCGCCCTTAGTCCAACATCGTTCAACTATCAAACCAAACCAGACTCCCTGGGTGCTAGGAAGACCCTCCCTTCGGGGCCATCTGCCTTCACTAAGTTCTGGTGGGATGTCTTGAAAGATATCAAATTCGCACTTCTCCCCAACCACTACCTCGAACATCACAACTCCCAACTGCCCAATATCTGTTTGTAAGGAATAACCTCCAGAGTCAGCCGTCTCCATACAAGTGTCAAGAGGCATTTTTATGGATTCGGTAAAATCGCAGAGTTTGATTGATAAGTCAGAGTCGAGCAGGAAGTTGCGGCTGACAATATCTGTCACAATAATTCGTCTTTCATGGACATGTGCAAGTGCTCGAGCCATTGCACGAAACCAAGAAAGTTGGAGATCTTTCGATGGCTTATTTTGGCTTAAATATGAGCGTAAATCTCCATTTTCCATCAGAGACAGTGTGGTGGCTGTCTCGGAGAAACCTAGGACAGGAACGACATGGTCGCATTCCCCTAAGCGCCTATATATGGATTGTTCGTGCTGAATGGATTCGATATTCGCTTTGACCTCTTCATCGCTGCTTGTACTCCACCTGAGAGGTAGCTTGAGAGCAAGTTGCTCCCGACGGATGACCAAGCCGGTCCTGCCAATGCCCATAATTTCCTCTTGATAAAAGGAGCCCACGGTATCGATATTGTGGGAGGATGCCATTGATATGTCTGCTACAAACTGTATTGGGAAATCTGGAAATTATTCAGAGAAGAATGGATTGTTGACTGAATCAGCTGAGATACAATGTCCAGTTACGCAAGGGGCTGACAACTATTATATACCCATTGTTGATTATTGGTGTGTAAGCCCGAGCCAAGTCTATTCAAGCCAAGTTCAGTCCCTCGCTCGATTTCCCCAGGAAACCTGCGCACAAAACTAAAAGATGCTAAAACAACCAAGTGAACAAGAGCATTCACGGCCTTTCACTATGAATAGTCTCCTGCATAAAATTGACAAGGTCATCATCCGAAAACGCAATCGTTGCATCCTCGGTTATACCCGGAATGCGAGGCATTTCATCCAAGATCAGCTCTAGCGGTATAATCAAGGGCGCATGTCGAACCCTTCCAGTGTCATACTCCACGCTGACCTCGTGTGTGCATTCTGCAACACCATCTATCTGCTGCCAGCACTCAAGCACGATCTCCTCGGTAGAAAAGGCGACTACCAGGACTAAATGGGTGAAGCTGGAGGTATTCTCCAGCCAGAGACGCGCATCGACTCGAAGCGCATCAAGGGAAGCCGTATCGCCGAATTCCATAATGAGTGACGGGTAACTATCGGGTTGTCTGCTTGCAAGTGGGATATACGCCTGTTCTGCTTCTAACCGCAGTCCGTTGTGCATCGTGTATATTGTTGGGCCGACGTGAGAGAGTATATCGGAAGTGAGCCCGTGATGGTGTTGATATTTACGAATGTAGAACCTTTGGTACATGGCCTCAATGACTCGCTCGCATAGCGGCGATTTGAATTTGATGACGAGGGTATTATGAGCGGGGAAGACTCGCACTAGGAACGTACGAGGGCGATTACACGCTCGCCATTTCTTGAAGTCGAGAAAGTCGGCGTCGGACACCTGTGTGAATGCTATGTATTGTTCGCCGCCGGTCAGGAAAGATCCCAAGTACTCGTTCATGAGCTCTATGACTCTTCGAAGGTCAGTGTAGACCTCCAACATCACATCTTCGCTTGGGTACAGATCCAGAGGATGCCTCTGGGATGCTGAGATGGTCATCGTCCTGGCCCTGGGAAGTTCCAAACGCTCTGAAAAGAAGACAGTGGTTATTCTTTTTTCGATGTCGAGTAGTCTAGTGTGAGTAGAGGGTGGACACAGTGTACCCCCAACGGAGGGAAATGGACTTTTGAGGGATTTTAGTGGAGAGCAAATATTGGTAGAGACAAGATGTATTCATCATGATGAGCACGATATTAGCCGCGTGATGGTCTCAGGACTGCCAGCCCATGGCCTGCCTACTACTCTTGCGCAGTCTTAAACAAGGATACAATTGCCATTATTACGTGCTTCCGTCGCAATCGAGATATATCGATCTGCTATTGAGAAAACGGCAACTGCAACCAACACGCTTGGACCAGCCCTTGCCTTTGATGAACCGAGAAAGCGAAGGAACCATGAATATCGCGCATTATTTCTCCTACGGGGTCGTACAACATACGCAATGGGTCGAAACACGGAACTGTTAGCAATATACTTCCATGGGCAAAGTTCAACAAAAGATAGAATATCTCGCATCATTTGCATAACTGAATTACACCAAAGGTGGCGTGAATCAATGAGCCACATCCATCAGATTCGCAGCTCGCAAGCCCAAAACCGCCCGAACATGATCATACTCGATGTCAAGGTCCTGCTCGCACGCCAGAAGATGCGCTGTCTTCAGCACATTCTTAATCTGCCGGCCATTTAGTTTCACCTGGGCAAGAGAGTCCAGCTGTTCCGATAAGAATCCCCTACTGCCACCCAGGAACTGTGCCCAGATCTGACGCCGTGAGTTGACGTCGAGGCAGGGTACCGAACCGACATATGGATTCGCGACTCAAAAGCCGGATCAATGCTTTCGGCGCGATTGGTCGTTAGGAACAAAATACCCTACGAAGGCCATCAGATTGACTCTTCATCCGTTGGAGTACATCAGACCACTTACCTTGTAATATTCCAACAGTCGCAAAAAGATCGAAACCAACTCATTTCGCACCAGATCTGTCGCATTGCGCGTCTCCATAAACATATCCGCCTCGTCCAGCAGCAGAACCGCACCCCACTTCGGGACCATGCGAAGGATATCTTTCAACGCCTTCTCGACGTTCCCAGCGGATGTGCCGAGGTCGCCCGCACTCAGGACGTACAGAGGAACCCGCATGGCCTCTGCCACACTCTCGGCCGTGAGCGTCTTTCCTACTCCAGGAGGACCACTCAGCTGTAGAATGACGCCCCGACCCTTGCCCTGCACGACATCGTCAAAGGTATCCATCTGCTTGGACTGAGCCTTTGCGATGGCCAGTATCAGACATTTCAGCCGCTGCTGCTCTGCCGGAAGGACCAACGAGTCGAAGGCTTGTGAGTCCCAGACAATATCCCGCACCCCTTCGAGAGGGACTTCGAGCCACTTTTTATCCTTCAGTGAGTACCCACGCAGCATGGGAGTCGCCAGAAGCTGCTTTTCATCGTTGAGTGGTTTGAGGCAGGGATCAACCTTGATAGAGTGGTTGGGGTTGAAGGTATTGAACGCCTCGCCGTCAATAATGATCCGGCTCTTGACGCTGATCTGGATGTGTCGTCCCATGAACTTGGCGGACCCAGGTCCTTCGTACTGCTTGTAGTGATATCCGCTGTATTCCTCCCACAATTTCCCCCGGGCAATGAGATTCTCCCGCACGGCGCCTACCTTCGGGTGAAACTTTAGAGGGAAGATGGGTAGGGCAGTAATTGGCAGTGTACCTTCGAACAGACAGATGCGTTCGTCATGCATCCTATATCCAAAGCTAGTTCCATCATAGTCGATGTACATGGAGGACACACCGAATACCCCATCGGAATTCAACGTGGTCGACAGCAATTCGAAGACACGCTCATGATCGTCATCGACACAATAAAGATGGGCTCCCGGTTCAAAAATTGCCCAAAGAAAGGCGTGAGTGATCACACCATTGTGGATGAGGTCCTTCTTGTGGGTAATGATCTCACCAAGTTCTTCTTCCAGAAGTCTTTACAGATGGTCGACCACAGGCCTTGTCGCGGAGTCTTCGACGTCCTCCCGGGCCTTTGAGAATTCCTCCCACCGGTGGATAAACGGCATGAAGGGCGTCTCGATTTCAACCCGTTTCAGCGTCATCGTCACGCCGGGGTAGCCCTTGAAGAGTTTATTCAGGAATTTCTTGAGCAAGTCATTTTGAACGATAATCGAGTGAATCTGAAGGGGTTTACGGCCATCGTAGCTCTTCATATTCCGCACAATCAGCGCGTACTGGCCAGATTCAGTATTCTCGACCGGGACAGTGAGGTCGTCAGGGTACTCCTTTGTCCACGTCGTGCGATCCGCTCTGTCCGACTTCGTCTTGTAGACGTTGCGGGCCTCGCAAATAGACCCGGCAGGGGCGTATTTTACGCGCTCCGAGTTCTGACCTTGGTGGGTATTAGTCTCTCTCTTCTGGTGTTCTTGAAGGCTAACTGACCTGAGATCATCAGAGTGCCTCCCTCGTATGCAGCTTCGTCTTCTGAGGACGGTATTTCGCTCTCGCTATCGCCGGATTCTGGGTCTTCGTGGTATGGCATGAACATTTAGCTGAGAATATCTCCCGGGCAGATCAAACCGGTATTGAGAAGCGTTGAATAAACGTGCTCTCTGAGATAAACATGGTGAAAGGGCAGGATACCTGACAATCAAGTAGACGATTAGAAGCAACAGCACGGCCTCGGCTGGTGTATCACATCCCTGCTACTTGGGTACGATGCCCGAGTCACTGTCTCGGGAACAGACAGCTCCTGTCTGCCTTGGCTCTCTAGTTGCCTGAACAGTGGACAAATCGGACTCCAATAATTCTGCCGGTCGCCTATATGAGCCTTGTTGGGTCAGAGGCTGCCGCTAATCAAAATCTATCTACCCAAGTAATCAGCCTAGAGTGAGGAGAGATGTGCACGGAGCTGTCTGGAGGCTCTTCCAATAGTTGTCATTGGACGATACGATCACGTGTCGTCGCAAGACCCTGCCTAATTGATACAGTGAAGCTTCCCCACTGCCATCGGGTCTCTCCGATATTAAATGTCTTAATTTTGTGGACAACATGGGGGAAAGTTTGCTCTTGCCCAAGAGTTTTCCGGTCATCCTATGGACGGGTCATTATGGCCGTTTGCGCCGGAGTGCAGATCACCAGCCATCTTCACACCTTGTAGCACAAATGGCCTGATTCCATACGTAATAACGCAAACGCTTGATGTTATCCTACCCAGCTAGAATGGACTAGATTGAATATTTGCCCTAGAATCATGCTCACACAGCCGAGAATCATGTTTGACACGTATTGCTATCACGGCGCACTGCCTCACTGACGTCTTGTATACATTCCTCCTACGACATCTACTCATATGCAATCCAAATTGTCTCAAATTAAACTCTCAGTTAGCTATAGCGAGACCCTTTAGTTACGAGCCAAGGCAAAGCCACATCTACTATAGACCAACTAGCTATCTCGCCGCTGGTTCTCAAAATGCCGATACACCGCAACAAAAGCTTCCAACCAGGCAATCTCCCTCTCATCATGAGCGTCATACTGTCTCGCCCAGCCATCCATGGCATAATTCAACGCATCCACCGGACCCCTGGGAATGAAGTACCAAGACCGGCTATCCTCATGCATGGCTATTCGGGGTAATCGACCCTCCTCCTCGCCACTATACACAAACCGCAGCCCCTCAACCACGACCCTGACTGAGACACCCACCTCCCCCAAGCTCTCCGTCTTCTTCATCAACACCACCTCATCAACTCCATCGCCGCGCAACCCACACTCCACCCCCAAGCCCTCCAATCCCTGCAAAACAACACCCACGTCCGATCAAACGGCACCAACGAGAAATGGCCGTACATGAACCACGACGTGCCGGTCAACGTATGGCCCCACAGCAAAGACTGCCTCGCAACCCGCTTCTCGGCGCCCCTAATCCGCTCCACAATATGCGGGATATTCTTCCGCGGCGTCTGGCTGGGGTCGACCATTTTCTTTAACACATCTGGGTTAGCCTCCAGCAAATCAGCTGCCTTGTGCAGCTGGACAGCCTTCCGCTTATTAACTTTCTCTTGCGCGTCTTGGATGGTGTTCCACCCGGCTTCTAACCCGGCGATGGTACCTGTCTCCCACACGGTGGGGAGTGGGGCGTAGCGACTCAGGACGTCCACCTTCCAGGAATCCAGATACAGCTCGTCGATGAGGCGATGGCGCATGTAGTTCGTGATTTCCTTGTAGTCTGACTTGAATGTCTGTGCGTTTAGGGCCAGCGGCGATGTCAGCGGTGCTGCGGTGAGGCTGTGGGCTGCGCAGACTGTGCGGTAGAGGTCTGCAGCTGCGCGGACTTCGTCGAGGACCCCGGTGTCATGGTGGAAGAGACGACCTAGGGTCGGGTGCGTGAGGATGTCTGTGTTGATTTGGGCATTGTTGTGGCAGATGAGCCGCAGGATGTCCCAGATGCGGATGTCGTTGAGGATTTGGTGGGCCAGCTCTCTGGGCAGGGTGGAGAGGGAGGCGATGACTTTGTGGTTGGGCCCCATGTTCATATATGTATGGTATAAGTTGTAGTAATTCTTTCTGAGGTATTGATATTGCGTTGGGATTGTTTGGGGATGGAGGTGGGTAGATATATGTCACGAATACGTGCTAGTAGATCCTTAGCCGCACAACCCTACTAACAAATGGGGCCGGAAACTGAGTGACTCATGGATGAAGGGTTCCACTCCCCCCACCAACATCTCAGCCTCAGGGTCCGAGTATATAGTTCACGCTATGTCCCGGCCCCTTCGTATCCATCATATCCAAGTATCCTGCTACAAGATGATCGAGACGAAAGAGGAAGACTACGCCCAGTTCATCCAAACCCAACCCCCATCCACAATCGCAGCATGTCTCCGCCGCGACCAGCTCCTCTGCCAGGAGAAGCATCTCCCCAGTCCGCTCGCCATGCACCTCCCCACACAGCCCTGTGAGCTCCTGGACGCAATCTCCCAACACCTAATCCCAGATAGCAGCATCCCCGCGCCCCTCCGCAGGCTGCAATGCCAGGGCATCATCAGCGGAATCAAAGCGTCCGTGAACCAAATGAACAGCATCACAACCTGGACATCGCCAACCACTGAAAAAGGCACGGGGCTAATCCCCAGAACACAGGATTTCCAATCCGCGCTGCGCGTGCTAGAATACCTCCAGAAATACCCATCCATCTCGCAGCTCAGCAACAGCAGCCCGCTCACAGATGTGCTATCCTCCGTGAAAACGCAACTGGCATTCGAAGACGGACTGCGCGCCGTGAACCACCTACACATGGCCCACAAAGACAGCCGCGTGGACTCAAAAGCCAGCTACAAAGCCCGCCGCCGCAAGGGCAACTGCTACATGTGCCATTTCGAGATCCGGGATGGCGAGGCCCACGATACGTACCCGTCGCTGTGTCGCCCCTGCGGCTCGTTCAACCTGGCTGAATCGGCGCTCTCGCAGCCCCCGAATCTCAATCTGAAGGGGAAGACCGCCCTCGTCACGGGCGGCAGAATCAACCTCGGCTACGAGACCGCGCTACGCCTGCTCCGCTGTGGAGCTAGTGTCATCGTGTCCTCCCGGTATCCGCGCGACGCGGTGCTGCGGTATGCGCGGGAGGTGGATTTCGGGGGGTTTTCGGCGCGGCTCAAGGTCGTGGGGGCGGATTTCCGCACGGCGCGAGATGCGTTTCGGCTTGTGGAAGTCGTGAAGAGGGTGTTGGATGACTGGGCGGGGGATGGGACTGCGCTGGATATTCTGATTAATAATGCGGCGCAGACGTTGACGGATCCGGTGCGCTCGGAGACGAGGGCGATTGTGCGGGAGGAGAAGTTGGAGGAGGAGGCTGGGGCGCATGGGCTGATTGCAGACGATGGGGGAGCGGTATGTGCCCAAGCTTCGCGGTGGGGTTGGCAGTGCCTGGGGCGGCATTGAGGATCGTGTGCGGCTGCAGATTGCAGGGAGCGCGGAGTCAGAGTGTGTGGAAGATTCTGGAATTGTGCAGAAGGGCTTGGGTCCGGGGGAGGATGAGTCAAGGTCGTCGTGGACTCAGAGCCTGGATCAGATCCCGTATGAAGATGTGATCAGCGCGCAGGCGGTTAATGCCTTCGTGCCGCTGATTCTATGCCGCGAGCTCTTGCCCCGAATGGGGGCTACTAGCAAGTCGTCTCGGCCCTTGGGATACATCGTGAACGTGTCCTCGCGGGAGGGGATCCTGGAGAGCAGGACCAAGTCTGCGAGCAAAGCTGGTCACCATGTTCACACGAATATGTCCAAGGCGGCGCTGAATATGATCACGGAGACGGAGAGCGAGTCGGCGTGGAAGCGGCATGTCGCCATGAATACGGTAGATCCTGGCTATATGAGTGCTGCGCCCGAGTGTCAGCGGGCAGACGGCTGCCCGATTGGATTCGAAGATGGTGCTGCCAGGGTTCTGTGGCCGATTGCTATCGGAGAACGCGAGCATCGGGTGATTTGTGGACGGTTCATGAAGCATTTCGGACACCATGATGCTATTATATCGCGAGGAATATGATATATTCATTATAGTTATGAAGCTAAAACATGGACTAAGTGGTTCGTACATTATCGTATACCATGGCAAGAGCATGTGCATATTAACTTCATGCCCTATCCAGCCTTTTCTCCCTTACCCAGAAATACCGTAGCACGAACAGCATAATCAACATGCAGACATCCAGCGCTAAATTCCAACTATATCCAATCAAATACCTGGGCGCATCAACCGTCTTCCAGACACTGTCGATGTCAGTCAGCGTAAGCATCCACTACACACACGGGCGAGAGTCACTTACAAAAGTGGAATCCACGCGCCAAAGGTATTCCCAATAGTGTTCATGGCACTAATCACCAAGGCCCGCTCCTCCGCACTGCGGGCACAAATCTCGTTCGCCCAGGCATAGATGATGGCCGCAATACCGTCCGCCGTGCCGGACAGAAAGAATGCGAAGAATTTCAGCCCGACCGGAACGTTCCAGATCGCAAGCACCAGACAGGCAAAGATGTTTAGCAGCGCAGTGATCGCGATCAATGAGACTTTGGCGTCGTAGATATCAGAGATCACGCCGCACACAATCGAGGCGACGATAGTGACGGCTGGCGACACGGTGGTGATGGTGTTGATGGATTCGACGGAGTACTTCTCTTCTTTGAGCCAGAGGGACAAGCCACTATTGGAGGAGACTCCGTCCGCTTGGGAGAAAAAGAAGGCAAAGCCGACGAGGACCCAAATACGCCACCCTTTCAGGATGGTGACAATTCGAGGGATGGTAAATGGTTGACGTGGCTCGCGGTGTTCGGCGGCCATACGTTCCTGTGCTAAGCGAATCTCATCCTGGGTAAGGTAGCGGGAGTTGCATCGGTCTGGAGTACTAGGAAGTAGGCATAGACCGAGAAAAGCGATGGGAATAGTACAGGCAAAGCCTATGGATGTCTGTTAGAAGGCACATCTGTGAAAATAGGGGCGATACGGCTTACAGATGATGTATAGCCATCTCCACCCTTCGATCCCATACCGGCCATCCAGCCGTGCATAGGCACCGGCTTGGATATACCCCGAGCTCATACTGCCCACCTGGCTGGCGACGAAAAAGATAGCACCACGACGGGCCAGCTCCGACCTCTTATACCAGCAGCCCAGATACCATTGCACAGCAGGGAAAAAGAAACCACCAAGGGCTCCGACGAAGAAACGAAGCGCGTAAAGCTGGGTGACACTGCTGGCCTTGTACTGGGCCAGTGTAAACACACCCCAGAATAAATCTGCCGCCGGGAGGAAATAGTTCACCGGACAGCGGGTCATCTAAGCTGTCATGTTAGCATTTTGGTATCAACTCATCGCCAATACGCGACTAACCAACAATGTCAGAGGAATCTGCATCGTGATGAATCCAACCCTGCATGACAAGTTAGAAAGCTTCACCCCCTGCACGACAGCTAATAACGAGCTTACATGTACACCGTGTTTAGATAATTAAGTTGATTCCCATACAACTTCAGATCCTCTTTCATACCGCTCACATAGGCAGTACTCGTCGCCGACGAATCCAGCACCTTCGCCCAATGGGCCAGAAATAGGAAGACGATGATCAAGCCGTCCAATTTGAGGATCAAACGGCGCTCCGCTGGAGTATCTGTTGGCGCAAACCATTGATACCATTTTTGCCGCTCTGCCGTGGGCTGTGCAGGCTGTTCTGAGCCCTCTTTTGACTTAGATCTTTCGACATCCGACGTCTCTGGTGGAGAATCAGCGGTAGGGGCTGCCTTTTCAATCGGATAAGACATGGTGCATATGTAGTGCCAAGTCCTGTTTACATATATCAAGCACGTTCCTCACTTTGCATGTCTGTGCAGTTGGTTGTGGTTCTGAAACCTAGGGGACTACTTTTTTTGATCGTGCAAGCACGCCATCGCTCGCGTCTGTGGCGAGAACCAGTTGGGACCGAACTAATTGATCAGCGGGGATTAGCGTTCGGTTAAAAGACGATGCTTGGTTGGTCTATGCAAGGAGCTGGTCTATCCTGCCGTCTTTATCGATTAGCATCCGCAGCGTCGCCAAGCTTGAGAGGTCGAACGGTGCACTGCTCACTTTAGCTAATGAGAACAACGGAACTAATAATTTTCATATCAAATTAACGAGTAAGGATCATATGTGATGTGGCTATGTGTATATTTAATCAAGACAGTAGTGTATGGCTTGGTGTTGTTGTGAGAAGAATTCCCCACGCTGGGCTTCCGAAATATATGTTTGCACTAGTCACCCACCTGACCAATATATAAACGTACCTCTTGCCCAACTCCTTTCAATCAGCATAGCGAATCTCAATAGTATGTTACCTCTTCTGGCCGAATGTAGAACCGAGGTCCCAATCATATGCGAGCTTATCAGATTCGTCGCTGTGGAATGTTAAGGCTCGCCGCTGTCATTTGGCTCCACTGTTTCGAGCCTCGACCGGGTGTAAATCACAAAATGTAGGCACTAATAGACCGCATCATATATTCCACAGGTATCAAAGCTCCCTAGAGACGGGAGAGCTAGTTTGTTATCCCAAGACCTTCTCACTGTCAGTGATGGGGCCTCATAGCCAAAGAAAATCTACCGCCAGAACCCTCGACGGCCAAAGTTAAACAACGAAGTGCCCCTACTTGCAGCAGCAATACAGTATCAAGAAGTGAGATGGGACAGTATTGCGAATTGGTCATGGTAAAGACAAACGAACTGAAAAGTCCTGGCTAACATATCTCGTGCGACACATATCAATTCCACGCTCCATCACTGTGATTCATCAACAAGAGAAAAAAAAGAAAGAAAGAAAAAAGCTCATGAAGATCTCCAAGCCCAGGATATATCAACGCCATTCAACGCCGCCGCACAAGCGATAATCATCATCACATAATACACTCCACCATGAATGAAAGTGGACAAAGGGGGACTGTCAAAGCGACTCAGAACCGCGACGAGCCATCTTCCGTATCTAAGGTATGACCACATCCATTAGCCCACTCACAATTGAACAAGGCCTATAGAGGAACACCAGACAACGTACAAACCGCAGATTCGAGATCCCTCGGTCGTGGTTCTTTCGTGCGCGACTCTTGTCGAAGACCCCCTAGGTTTTTCAACCGCACCGACCGCATATAGAGCTCCTGGTCGCGAGAATAATTGTATCGATGCGCAGAATGGTCGGTGGGATAGACCTGTTTCCACATGGCGGCGCCCAGCGATACCGCGGCCAGACAGGCGACAATGACGATAACGATGATGCCCGCAGTTGGGATACCCATGGTGGTCGGATGTGTCGGATGTGGACCGGCGAGGGTGTGTCACGGAGTAAAGGCGTCCTTGATGAAGGTGACTTGGGTACGAATGGTGCTGTCAGCACATGGTTTCGTTGTCGATATGTACCGTTCCTGAGTGGTTGATGGTGTCGATGAGGTTTCGCGACAGGATGCGGATATAAGTAGAGGTTCGAGTCCAGCCCAACGCTCAACTTCCGCCCGCCGACCCGCGAGTTTAAGTAATGGGCAAGTGATTGGTATCACCGACTTATGCAAGCCTCCCAATCCCAACTCTTTCGATGCATCGGGAGGGCCGCTTTCTATCACGATTGGCTGGTCTCTGCTACTTCCGCGTCCGAGTGGAGCGACGCTGGTGAATCTGATTGGAGAGGTATGGCTCTTTTCTTGGTTTGGGAAGTATTTATAGCCATTGATAGCTGACGCTGTCTCCAATTTTTTTTCTTTCTTTTTTCCGCGTTAGGGCATCTTGTCACGTTTACCCTACAAAGTTGACTTGAAACGCCTCAGACCCAATGGTTCATCCTCACCGAGGTTCAAACCACAACGGTCTCGATCCACTACAGAAAAGGTACCGGGCGACGGGCCACTCGGGCTCCGTAGACGGATCCGCCGTCTCCGAGTCTAACAAAGCTTGTTCGTCGTCGTGCCGGTTTTATTCGATGCCCTCCATTAGGCAGCAAGAATGACCTCGGCGTTAAGCGGCAGAGAATTCACGCCGGACGATCAGACCAGCTCCTGCGTTTGATCGACCCGACACAACTGATTCATTCATCGTTGTTTCTGCGAGATATTCCTCGGTTCGACCCGTCAGCTCTCGCTTACTATTAAATCAAAGCTAGTTCGCTGCTAGTTAGCACTGCCACGCAGGAACCATGTCTCAACGCTGTAGTAGACGCGTTAATGGGCGGGAAGTGTTAGTGCCTTGGTTTGGTTCCCTCGGCACTGTATTAGCCAAGTAAATCACCAAGACAGGGAATAGGCACCCTCGTTCTTTCAAATATTCTCTTAATATATCCTGTGCTAGGTCCACTCTGCCGAGGACTAGAAACTGGAGTGCACAACATGAGTTGCGGAGAGTTATGTAACCGTACTAGAAATCTTTCCACCAAGTGTGAATTTCAAGTGGCTGTTGCTCTATTATGGATATTTAATTTCAGTGGTGCAACGTTGGACAGAATGCAACGCTGACAGATATGAAATTGCATGTTTCAGAAGTAGCATTGAACAAGGCAGCCCTCGGGATTGTTGCTTTCATGAGTAGATTCATGTGTTCTAGTACCTATACTACGGAATCTACCGGTATATCGGCGCGAGAGGATGGCAGAAGTACCAGGACCCGTAACTCGAAATAATACAGAGTGACTCTAAACAAACACTATTCCAGCCCTAAGTCATCAAGGCCTGTTCTTCTCCACTCATAATTCTCGATATTATGACGCATCACCGATCTAACGTTGTCAGACCGCGTATTTATAGCCATACTAATAGACAACCCATATTCCCGAGCAGTACCCGGGCTTCTTGCCGAAGAAGCCACTCTTTATGGGTTCAATAAAGAACAACTATGATTATAAAGCCCGTACATGTGGATCCACTAAAGAGCTCCAATCCATATCCTAAAAATATCCTTGTCATGACTGGCTTATTCGCTCTTCAGAGTATTTTTAATGTCTAGGAAATGAGAACAGCTCCTACCAAGGATGTCGGTAAGTATAGGACATGATCTATCGAGAGCTGCCAAAATCTATAATATGAATAAAATGATGACAATTAAAAGTGATAAGCCTACCTCATATCCAAGGTTACTAGATCAACTCGATCCATTAATGATAATGTCAGAGATCTTCTCCGCCAGCATATCTGTAAACCATCAGCCATTGTCCGCTCCATGCTAAAAGTAGGATAAAACTCACAAACCGTCGACTGAGGATGACCCGGAGGGAGGAACGGGAAAGCACTAGCATCCACAACACGAACGCCCTCAATGCCATACACGCGGGCCTGATTGTCCACCACCGCCATTTCATCGTCGGCGGTACCCATCTTGCAGGTACAGGCGGCGTGCCAGAGTGTCATCACATTATTTTTGATGTATTCCAGGATCTGTTCGTCGGTTTGCACGCGGTTCCCGGGGTTATACTCTTCTCCTATGACAGCTGGTGCCATGGCTTCGCTCTGGAAAGCTTGGCGGATCCGCTTGAACATTGCCACTGCTACTTCCTGATCAGACTTGGTATTGAGCCAGTTGGGGTTGATGATGGGTAGGTCGGATGTATCGGCCGATTTCAGGGTGACATTTCCTCGCGACGTAGGGGTGATCAGCACACCCAGCATGGAAGCGTACTGGTATCCGTCTTTGGGTTGGTCTGTCAAGAGGTTGGAGACGGCACCCATATAGCCTGCGCCGGAAATGTACTGCAGTAATAATGTTAGTGGATACTAGGAGTGTAGATACAGTAATGGACCAAATACCTCAGCCTCTGGCCAATCACTCGTAAAAGTGGCCAAGTCCTTCAGCGTCTGGCTTGTGAATTTAGTCCGCAGGCTATCCGGGATCTTCTCCCAGGCCAAATAATCCGCCACCGGGTTGGTCAGAGGCCCGCTCTTCATAATGGAGGAGTTCAGAAAGTCTTTGACGAGGTTTAGCAGGTTCGTCGCGATCTTAGTGAATGTATCCACAGTAACCCGGTATGACGGTGCAAAGAACGGATGGTCCCACATATTCTGTCCAACACCTGGTCGATTAGCAAGTACTTCAATATTGTGTTGGTCTAGTATATCTTTTGGTCCGATGCCAGAGACCATCAAGAGCTGCGGGGATTGAAAAGCGCCTGCAGAAATAATCACTTCTTTCTTTGCGCTCAGGGTAAAGATATTCCCCAGCGGGCCCTTGACCCGAACTCCCGTGGCCTTTTTGTTCTTGTCAAACAGCACTTGCTTAGCCAGGGTATTCGAATACGTGGTTAGGGAGGGCGCTTTGATGGATGCCAGGAATGCGCTCTGGGAGCTGCTCCGAAGCTCGTTCTGCGGGCTGATGGTCGAAGCGCAGTACTGAGCGCCCATTAAAGACCCAAGATTGAATTCCTGGGTTTCGTTGATGCCGATAGCCTCCATTCCGCGGCTCATCCAGGTGGAAAAAGGCATCGCGTAGTTCGCGTATGATACTTCAAGAGGACCGCCTTGGGACTCATACGCGGCTGCGTCGAAACCAGTCGTTGCATTCGCGAAGCGGGTCTCGTGTTTGGGGGTGTGAAGTGTACACTTTTCTTATAATAAGGCAGGACCTGGTCGAAGGTATAGCTGCTGTCATTGACGGCCGCTGCCCACTGTTCCATTGATTCGCGCGTCGGTCTGGCACTGCATTAGTTCATTCGGAGATTCTCATCTCACAGGGGACCGACCGTTGGTAAATCATGAAGTTCATGGCGGATCTGCACAGACTCATCAGTAAACATCGGCAACTTTTGGTAGAAAAGAGCACATACGAGCCACCTAAGCATTTTCCTCGCGCATAATGTATTGATCTCCCATTAGCACCGGGGACCTTCTCCGCCACAAATCCCCAATCATGGAGAGCTTTGGTATTGGGATCCGATCCGACAGGAAGAACGTCTGCGGCGGGAACCGCAGCTACCGATTCCAATTCATATAGTCCGCCTGCCTCCACCAGGGCCACTTTCAATGACTTCTGCGCCAGCCGGGTGGCAATTACATTTCCGCCAGTACCGCCGCCGACAACGACGTAGTCAAATGACGAGTCTCCGAAGCCGCGCGCATCCACCCGAGATACGTATGCATCTGGCTCGGTACTTGGAACAGCGTTCGTGCCTAGGGCGAGTGAATGTAGCACAAACGAGACAAGCGCAGCTCGGCGCATCTTTCGGGTAATGTTAGGCAAGGGAATTCCATCGGAGCTTTGAATGGTACTTACTTTGATGTGAACCATGTAGTATTAGAAAGGGAAATGGCCGGTATTCTTTTGCAAGATCTACTATCAGTCGTCCCAACCCCAAGGCGTGAGAACCTTGACACATATAACCACCTCCTGAACATGATATAGTCCACTCCGATATGAAGTCGGCAGTCCACAAAATGAGACATGCCTGCTAATTCTGAGAGTCTAGCTAAGAGTGAAGATCTGACATCAAGCCACAATATTCAATCTATACTATTTGATTTGTCCGGTCTCATTTAAGAGGTAGGAATGAAGCAGCCGTGCTGGTGTCCTACGTATAAACTAAAACTATCCTGGCAGATATTCCGATCTTGTCAGGCCTCAAAATCAGGACTATAGCGAAGACATGCAGATCGGAAATTAAACGTCACGTCCAGGGGCTCGTTCGCCTTGAATTCAGCACATTGATCTGGAACATACATACTCTCAAAGAGGAGAACTAACCTCGTCGGTACTAGTCCACTCTCTCTCTCTCTAGGGCTTATTCGTTTGGTAATGATCGTTCGATATCCGAAGTGGGCTCTCAAACAAGCTGTTTCGGCAATACCCCGGGGTAAACGAAAGTATCTCTGGTTAGTGTAAGTCCAAAAATAGGTGGAGGGAGCGAATGCAGTTAGGTTTTAGTTTCAACATGGAACTTGAACCCCTGATACACGAACGGTTCCCTCAAAGTCAAAACCCAACTTTGAGTCGGATCCACAGTCATCGTGCGGATCCACTGTTTGGTTCATGACTGACTCGTGGAGTAGAATAGAGACCGCTCATACTCGACTTTTGCGTTCTTTTGTTCTATTCTTATTTTATCTTTTTTTTTT